CGTAAGGGCTTAGGCACAGAAGTCGCCGGTTGTGTCTCTATAAGAAGACGTACCTCCAACAGGAGTCAAGACTCCAGCTAACGATATAAAAAGCGAGGTAGAAGCACTTCTAGAAACAAAAGTTTAAACAGCCATGACATGCCAGTTATGCAAGGCTTATTGTTTGGGAAGGCGGTAACTGTTCTCCGTAATACAGGCAGCAACAGCGTATACAAACGACGGTCGACAGTCCTGTATACGGCATCGACGGGTACCATGGCAACCCTACTGTTGGCAGTAAGTACCACTGAGGCACTAGAAGCCGACGTACTCGTCTCGTCACCGTACTTTTCAGGGGCCATTGTTGTGAAATGTCTTGACAACCCACATTACGATGCCATCATCGGAAATGTCTCAGGGTCTCTGGACCACACAAACCTAGATAAAAACTGGAAGAAGACGTTGGTTAATCATCCTATATGCCCACCTAAGAAGGGAGCAACTGCGAAGAAGGTCCACTCAATGCCTGCTGTGGTTGTCGCAAAGGCTATGAAGAAGAGAGAGGAAGTAATGAACCTCATTCAGGTCTCACGAGAGAAATTTCAACAGGAGCAGATAACCGACAAGAGCTTGGAACATTGCAGAGCTAAGGTGGGCAAAACCTTCAAAGGCAAAGGACCAACATGCCTGCTCTTACCAGTTGTGTCCATGGCAAAATGACCAAACAAGCGGCAGCACTGCAACAATTACGTGCGCAAGTTCTTCAATTAGCGCACGAAAACCCCCTCTTCGGACACCAAGGTATCAAGAAGACTACCAAAAGGGTACTGAGCGCTTTCTACTGGGCTGGTGTTCAAGAGGAAATCAAGAGGTGCGTGAAGTCGTGTGATGCGTGGCAACAGACGTTCCGAAAGGAAGGTTGAGTAAAGGGCCACTTGGCCGTATGTTGCTCATAGACACGCCATTTGAGCGAGTGGCCGTGGATATTATTGGACCACTTTCTCCAACCTCCCAAAAAGGTAACAGGTATATTTTGACTCTAGTGAATTTTGCCACTCGTTATCCTGACGCGATACTGTTGCCGGCTATTGATTCAGCGAGTGTAGCCGAAGGGCTTGTGTAACTGTTCTCGCGTGTAGGATTTCCCAAGGAAATTCTGTGTAATCAGGCATCGTGCCTTACCTCTGAGTTGATGAAAGAGGTGAACAGCCTACTGCAGATCAAACACCTGAGTTCCATTCCATACCATCCCATGTGCAATGGATTGGTTGAACGGTTTAACAGAACTACCAAAGAGTTGCTCTGTAAACTTTGCCAGGAACAACCGAAGTCATGGGATCGGTACATTGCTCCTCTGTTGTTTGCATATATAGAGGTACCGCAATCAAGTCTTGGTTTCTTGCCCTTTGAGCTAATATATGGCCACCAAGTAAGAGGTCCACTGGCATTACTTAAGGAACTCTGGGCTAAAGACGAGATCAATGGATACCGAAACTGTGTACAGTTACGTTCTCGACCTCAAAGAGTGTCTGTCGCAAGCCTTACAGGTGGCACACAGAGGACTTGAAAAGGCTCAGCATCTCCAGAAAAAGTATTATGACAGAAATAGTCGGCATCTCGCCGTCTTAGGTAGGTGACCGAGCCTTGGTTCTACCAACGAGCCACAACAAGCTCCTTATGCACTAGAAGGGACCTTTTGTAGTCACAAAACAGAAAAACGACTTTGACTTCTGGATTGACGTCGGACATATGAAAAAGCTCTTTTATATAAACATCTTAAAAAATATGAGGAACGCCCACCAAACGTACCTGCTCAGGTGTCATCGTTCGTTGTGTTAGAAGACGCGACCGACAATCCCAGTACCAAGTATCACAGTGGAGACTTCTTGGATTGAGAGCATCCGGAAATCTGCTGCTCTCAGTTCAGACTAATTTCTTGGACTGCAATGTCTTTTGGAAGACTACTAGGATATTTTCTCGGACGTCCCAGGGAAGACAAATTTGTTACAATGTCGTCTTAAACTGACGACAACAGAACCTGTTAATACGCCGCAATATCCTTTGCATTTCGCCATGAAAGATGCCGTCGAGAAAGAAGTGACCCATATGGTAAGATTAGGCATAATCGAGCCCTTGGGTCGCCTTACAATTCTCCGCTTGTCTGGTCAAAAAGCCAGACAGGTCATTTTGAGCATGCATTGACTTTTGTCGCATCAACAATGTGCTCGTGGGCGATGCATAAGCAACTCCAAGAAATGACGTCATGTTCGCAGAAGTGGGAAATAAGAAATATTTCTCAAAACTCGACCTGACGAAAGGATATTGGCAGGTACCCGTGAAAGAGAGTCCTCGACCAACAACGGCCTTCTCTACCCAGTAGGGCCATTACCAATTCCTATTTGTGCCATTTGAAATAAAAACTGCATCAGCCGTTTTTACCCAACTCATGCGGCGACTTTTGACAGGGCTCCCCTATGTGATGCACTATATCGATGACGTTCTCATGGCAACAATGACGTGGGACGAGCATCTGCAGACGCTCCAACGTCTGTTTGACAGAATCAGGAGCGCGAGTCTCAAAGTAAAGCCGCGAAAGTGCGAGATTAGAGCAACTACCGTCAATTCCTTGGACATCGCCTGGGTGTAGAAAAGTTCAGCCGAACGAAGAAACTGACTGAGAAAATCCTTCAGGCGCCTAAGCCTCATACAAAAAAAAAAAAAACAAGCGTGTTCCTTTCTCGGCCTAGCTGGCTATTATTGTGACTTTGTTTCACGATACATAGAGAAAGCACAACCGTTGGTTGACATGCTCGAGAAGCGACAACCCAATCGAGTGAGCTGGACGCCAGCCAAGGAAGCCGCCTTCGTTGAGCTCAAGCAAAACATTTATATAGAAGAGTTATGCGATAGCCCCGCCGTGGTGGTCTAGTGACTAAGGTACTCGGCTGCTGACCCGCAGGTCACGGGATCAAATCGCGGCTGCGGCGGCTGCATTTCCGATGGAGGCGGAAATGTTGTAGGCCCGTGTGCTCAGATTTGGGTGCACGTTAAAGAACCCCAGGTGGTCAAAATTTCCGGAGCCCTCCACTACGGCGTCTCTCATAATCATGATGGTTTTGGGACGTTAAACCCCACATATCAATCTATCAATCGAGTTATGCGATAGGGCCTTACCCTTCAGGAATATTCACTTCGTGTTGAGTACATAAAAGGTTCAGACAATGTTGGGGCAGATTATCTGAGTACGACACAAAAAGCCGTTCGGTATTACATCAGTAGATGTGTTCGCGTTCTCATCATTATTTGCAATGTTTTTTTTCCCCTAAAAACTTTATTTGGGGGGGGGGGGGGAAGGGCTTTATGTGATGAGTAGTAGACAAATATTATAGACACAGCTGTAGGACTAAAGTGGTGTGTTTCCAGTGAAAGTGAAGTGAAGCGAAACCTGAAAGAAAGCGTCGAACGAAAAAATAAAAAGCAAGAAAAATAAAGGAGGAAGACGGGGGCTGGTGCGTGGAACGCCGGAGTAAGTCGGGCGGGCCAAGCTGTTCGTGGGGCTATCAAGGCTGTTGGATTCCGGATCCGAGCCTGTGGACAACCTTGTTATTTGGCAAGGACGATGCCTACTGTGCCGTGTCACTGTGGTCATGGTGTCCAGGGAATACTTGGCAGTGTGGCACCGCGATCGTGTCTCCACGCCGCACCTACCCTCGTCATCCCCGATCTACCGACCCCGACATCACCAATGCTTCATCGCAGCATTACCGTGACCTTCCGACATCGAACAAACTATGAGAGGAACTGCTCTTTTTGTTTCTCCAGACACTAATGTGATTACCTTAGCTTAATCTCGACTATCGAACGATCTGTTTATGTAATCACTATTTCGATTTCCCGTATTATCTGTAACATCAATCTAATATCTTGCTTTGCTTAATAACAAAGACTTGAGTTTTGTTTTTCCTCGTTATACAATTTCGTTTATTATGCCACGAAAACGATTTCTCAGTGGCAGTACGTAATATAAAGAACCTAACACGTGGCAGGCACGCACCTTGTGACCTTGAGCACTTTCTCTTTTTTTCTCCCTTAACTGCGCGATTTTTCAGTGCGATCGGGCGTGCACGCGGGGACAACTCACGGCCTTCCGTGCCGGCCCCAGTAACGACCGAGTGCGTCATGCCGAAAACTGCCGATGGCTGGTACTAGGCCTGGACACGAAGCAATTTCGAACCTGTCGCGTCACTTGTCGAGAGAACGATCTTTAGCAGATTGAGAATTTATTGCGAATTCCAGGCCACGTGCTGTGCTGTATTTTGCACATGTGTTCTCAGGAGTCTTGACTAGCGATCAGCAGCATTTTCTGACTATGCTCAAACAGTGTTGCAGGGCCTCCTTATTAATAAAGGTCATACACCACTGTCAATATGGTTGATGTAAAAGGTCCTAGAAATAATTTTCTCTAGGCCAAGCTGTTGTTGCTGTCAAAATCCGAAAATTGCATAAAATAATACATAAAAAAGGTGTGACAGTTAATTGACAAAGTTTTATGCTATGGCCAGCTGTAGAAGTCTGCTGGAGTCTAGCCAAGAGCTATCACTGTAAAGTGGCCTTCTGGTTGTCTTATATATATATATATTATGGAGCAAAAGTACATTGGCTCCTATACTTACCATGTGATTTCAATTAATCCCTATCCTGTCCAACTGATAAAACCAGCTCAGGACTTTTACATTATTTTGTGAATGCTAACAGCTGCATAAATCAGGTTTCACTGTCCATGGTGGGCTTTGTGTGCACCTAAGTAAGCTTTACATGTGCCTCTTTCCTCCGTAGTGTTCAATCAATGATAAAAAAAAAACTGCTTTTTACTAGCTACAAACAGAATGCAGCAATGCTTGGATCTTACATATAGCCAGTGTGTAAGTCCAGCAATCCTGTAATAAAGCTTTTGTGGAGATTATTACAGGATAAATAACACTGCAAACCAGTCCCACAAATGGTGAATGTACACACAGACATGTAAAAATGGATGGATTTTTATTAATCACATTAGTCACTCACAATCACAACCAACAGAGAACTCTCACACCGGCTACAGGAGCTGCACTTTGTTTCACTCAAACTATTCAAAAGCCCAGTCAACTAAATAGATTTTTTAAAAAGTAACAGCAGACACCTTCGAACTTTCCGGTCCTGACAGCTGCCATTTTTTTTTCTTTAGGTGTATCTTAGAACAAGAATACAACACCAAGCCTAGTGCCTGTTTGTTACACACCAAATAAGACAGAAACATTAGCTTTAGGTATAGGCCAGAAACCAGAACAACTTGAAGCTATATGTCAACTGGGGCTGTCATAACTGCCTCTGTTAAGGCCCTCGAGGGCATTTTTCAGAATGTCATGACAAGTCCACGATATGATTGGCGAAGTAAAACAAAGTGCAAAGGCACACAGGTAACCTCCGTCGTTAGTAGCCACAGCATGCAAAATTGTGACCGAGTCTTCGGCGCGTAAAGGATGTAAAAGCTGCCGTGACGTGAAAGCCTAGGGCAGAGACATACACAATGAAATATATCACAAGAATACTGGTGACAGTCGTCATAAGAAACGTGGTTTCCACACATACATGGGGCACCTTGTAAGGCATTCTGGTTGTATGCAACGTTGTCATGGATAACATTAATTACACTGGCACTGCATTTAATGAAATCAATTTTAAAAGCCCAGCTACAGCCATTCGCACAAAAACTGCCTTCAATGTTTCTAAATACCATATGCAATGACGAGAATATGAAAAGTAGGCCTGCTTAGAATGTGCCAATTTGTAGTAATGTAGGATTTGCTGTGGGCTGCAAAAAGCATTTTAAATTCTAGACTTTGCTTCAAGTACCTGCTATATATGTAAAAAAGACAAGTGCAAGTGTGTGCTTGTGACCACGCCGACAGTGAGAGGGGGCAGGTACATTTTTTTGGTTTTTTTTTCTAATCCAGAACAGTTGGGGTTCTTACCCCCATATTCTAGAACCTCCCTTGACTCAACGCATCGCCTTCACTTGAGAAAGCCAACAGGAGTGCCATCTTTAGGCGCAGAAAGTCACTGCATATCAGCGATAGTCTGGTGCGATTCTTCAGTAGTGCAGCCGTCATTTTCAGTAGTACAGCGTCATTTTCAGCCGAGTGGTTGCGCAGTGCTCAACTCTGTCAAGTGAAGGGTGAAAGTCGAGTGGAGGAGCGTTTGTGAATACAGGGGTTAAACTTGGCAGTGCAACAAGGTCTAGCCTTGGTCCGCACTTTGTTGTGCTAGTTTCTTGACCAGCGTAACCAGGTTATCTTGCAAAAGACACCTTTACATTAAAAAAAGAAAGAGAAACAGTTAACGAAGTGACAAATGCTCACTACAAATGCTGCCTCCAAGCTACTATGTAATTGAAAGCTTAAATTTCATTAGCTATGTGTGAAATGAACACTGGGTATGGATATGACCATCTAAGGAATATTTAGCTGTGTGTGAAATGAACACGTGCATTGACATAAGCATCTAACGAATTTCGATAACAATGGCTATCATGCAAAAAAAGATCCACTCTGATACTTCTTTTGTGTGTTTGGAAAAGTTCGTTAATTATGAGAGGTGCAATAATTAGACATTACTACATCAAACATTTAGGCAGAAATCTGTACTAATTTTATCTTAATACCCGGTCTAAGAGTTAAACTTTCAAAATACATACTGATATAAATATTCTAGTACTCGCAAGAATAATGCTGCTCTAAGAGCGATTTGGAAAAATCTGCTTCAGCTAAGAAAGCAAGCACACGATGCAGGAAGTCGCACTAAAGAAAAATACGAATAACAATTGCCCCATGCAATGAGTGCCATCACGTGCCTTTTTACTTGTACCGATAATAAAATAGGAGGCAAAACGATTGCTTGGTATGTCGCTGCCCCATTCTTACAAAGACGTCACTGGAAACGAGCACTACCAAGCCTGAGCAATAAAAAAAATTAACAGCTAGTTAAAACAAGCAAATCGAAAGCAAGAAACAAATGCAAACACTAAGTGGCAACAAAGTCAGAACTCAGAAGAACGAAACTTCAGCGGGACAAACTTGCATGAGTTCATGGTGCAGCACATCCTACAGCAGCATTTCGAGGCATAGTTCTTTAATTTTCAGGATTCATCAAAGACGACCGTGGACCTTTGTATATTGAGCATAGTTTATGAATAATATTGTATACAGTTCTACGATACAATGAAAAGGGTTTGTCGGTAGAACAATTCACGTTCTAATCTCTTCTATTCACTCTGGTTCCATCACACGCTCTGCTGCCTAGCTATTGCTACCATATTTACTGTCATAACAATGAAAAAACTGCTGCACTTTAAAAGATCACTTGCCCCTTCTCGGTGATACGCTGTCCAACAATAACAATAATCTCCCAACTAAAATATCGCTGGCCACGAATGCCAGACAGCCACCCTGACATTAAATGCCTAGAACCAAATTATACCTTTCAGACGAAAATACTTGAAATGATGTTTAAGATATATAAATCCGAAGCTCCAGAATGTATTTCATATCTCAGTCATCACTGAAGTTGCACATTGTTTCGACAGGACTTCCCGGTGATGTAAAGGGTTTTACAATGAAATGGCAGAAAAGAATTTGCCACTGCAGGTGCATATATTAGAAACCTCTTAAAGAACACAGCCAAATCCAAAAGCTTCACAGATAAAAATGCTCTTGTGGGTCTTCATGTAAGTACATAATTCATGGTTGAAAATTGTATGTAATGCTCATTACTTGTTGCCTTGCATTGCAGTAGTGTCAGGCATTGTATTTTTGCTGCTTTTGCATTGTTTATTTTGGTTCTTAAGTTTATCATCAGAACAAAATGAGCCAATATGACTACTGTTTCAGCATTTATACTCTGCATCACAGTAGCCACACTATGTTTTACGAATGAATGACTGAACTCTACATTATCACTAAATTGCATTTAGGTTTTTATGTTTTGATTTCTATAGTATATTGGGTATATACTCACGTCAATCACTGGACATTTCGCTCTATATGTTAATCTTGCTGCTTTTGGAAGCATAAAAAAAATCATACCTTATGAATAGCTTTTAGGCTTATATTTAACATAGCATTCATTTGATTAGGAAAACAAATATTGTTGTCTTATTGAGGCACCAAGCTGCTTACTGGATATAAACCTCATGAGGCAAACATTACTATGGGAGAATGGTTAAGCTGCTTAAGGTAAACAAAAATGAATGTTCTTATTTTAAAATGGCGATTATTGGTACTGTAGGACAGAACCATGCCTAAACAGGAACAAGACACTTTACAGATGCACCAAGTTTGTTGAAAGACTGTTGCAGTCATGAACACATGCAAAAACACCAATAAAGAAACACAAGGTTTAGTTGCTCTTGCTACAAAAAAGACATTAAAAACATAAAAGTTTAAACATGCAATTAAAACAAAAGACTATTAAGTAGCACACTCTGATTTTCACCCGTTCTTGTTTGCAATATTATGCATGAAGTACGTGGACATATGTATCTATATAAAACAGAGACGCTGTCATCTGAGCAGTGTACTGGTACGTATAGCAACTTTGCACAGGCCCCACAATACACTAGGGAATGAAAAAATTACGACCCATTACTCAGTAATTGCACATTAAATGGCACAGGCCATTAGAATACAATAATGGAAGCATCCATATACGTACCACTTCATGCAAAAAGCGTTAGCGTTGAAATGCCTCGTAATGCTGCGTGATACAGGAAAGTAGGTGGCTAAAAATCGTAGTTAAGTACTGAGGCAACTACCAGCCGCAACAAAATATGACTGTACGAAATGCACAACGACTGTGAAAGGATCTTAAAATGAAGAGTTGCTGACACAACACAGGTAAATAAAAAGCGTGGAAGATTACGAAAAGAAACGTACGGCATCACCACGAAGAAATCTTCGTATGTCAAGTACAATGCGCAGTGAGCAAATTAGTGTGATGCTGTTGCATCCAGTTTGACCTTCAGGTTCTTGAGCATTAAAGAAAGTATGTAACACCAGGCTGCATTTTACCTCAAATCGAGTGCAAACCTGTAGGTGCACCGAGTGTTGAATGGTGACAAGGACTTAAGGTAAGTTCATGATATGCAACTTGTATCAGCCATGAAGCAATAGAATAGTAAAATGAGATTGTATCCGAAGAGTGTAAAATGCTGATCGTGTAAGGTTGCGACCTTTCTAAATGCATTATGAACACGCCCTCCGAAAGATGGGTTTGTGCGTCGCAGTAACTACACAAAGTAACAATACACTACGGATATGTGACGCAAGAAAGGACCAAGACAGGCTAGCATTAGACTGCACAAGAAAAAAAAAACAAGCAAAAAAAGACAGAAGAAAGTGATACAGGGGGGAATGTCACAACACTACACGTCCTAGCAGACAGTACGTTTTCAAGGTGGGTCGACGTCACAGGCGGGATGCAATGGAAAAAGAAAACATTTATGGCAGGGCGTAGCACAAATGAAAAAAGGTGCAGTAGCAGCATGTGTGCAGTGAATGCTGCCATCGCTCATACATTCTTGAGGTGGGAATACTTTGTCGGCTGAATGCAACGTAAAGGAGGAACAGGCAAGCGCAAATTGGCATTGGCCGAACAAAACAAAACCAAAGTGAAGAAGGGTAGGAAAAAAGCTCTCAAATACTGAAAGAAATAAACCTCTCCCTCGCGTCTGCTAAATGCAAGCTGACACGACAAGAGATGTGGAGATGGCATGTGGATGGGTGTGGAAATCGGGTGCGACTCCCGTGACTGCATATGTGCGTGCGCTGCGCTTCACGCAGGAAGGCAGGGAAAAGGGAGTCACAGAGAAACCCGTTTTTATGTGTTTTCCTGGTAGGTCACGTGCGCTGAAAAAGTAAAAAGAATACGCAGGACAGGCATGCAGCTTGCCATCCGTCTCTTGCCAAAACAAACTGACACACAAATAATGACATGAAGAAAAGCAAACAAAATAAACTAGCACATTAACTTAAAACAGACAAGTAAGTTCCATGCATAGATGTGCTTTTTCATCCATATTCACAGTGCTCACAGAATGACATGCGTATACGCCTGTGTATATATTCAATATTCCAGCACTTTGAATATACAAACAAATATTACATTGTTAAAATTTGCTTCGGCATTAACTAAAACTTTGTGATGCTTTGATGTAATGGAGGTGAACGAGTACTACACATATTTTACTGCACCATGAAACTTTGTGATAAGCAGGCACATTGCCTGCCCCTAATTATTCCATTCAAAAGTTTAAAAGCGTGTTATATGGGCTTATATGAGCTAAGTGTGGCAAATTTTATAACTTATTGTATTTTGAGAAATGCAACTTGTAACATACTACAATTTACATGCTTTTGTGATCCAATATGCTCGCAATTATTTTATACAAGTTATCATTAGCTTTGACTTCACTTCAAACAAAGAAAATAATATGATTACATGCGTCAACCAGAATGCATAATTTTAGTGATATGAGGTGCACAGACTTTGAGCTTCACCATCTGTAGTATTGGCTCATACAGCAGCCTCAGAGCAAACATCGCCATCAGTGGCCATACCCATGGCGATTGATATGTAGTATACCAGTAGTTACTCGTAAACCTGCGACATCTAATTCCCTTCCACGCACACTATGCATGATAGTAGTATTTGAAATGTACATTGTAATGGGGCTTCCCCAGACTGCACTGTGTAGATTGAGTTGAACCTTGTTAAAATAAGCACAGATCTGCGATACGACGACATCGCATCTTCCGAAAAATGTTTGCAAGTATGAACTAGCATTCCTTTGGTGTAGAAACTTCTTCAATCCGATACGTCAGGCAGAAGTTCTTGTCCCGCTGTGAACTCGAAAAACAGGCCGAGACCGGTAGCATATGATACGTTGAAGACTAAAAACTTCCGTGAGAGCTTTACCAATGAAAACAACGCACGCAAGAATGAATCTGCCTAATCTCACATGTTTGAGTTAAGTAAGACCGACATTTTTTTATTACAATTTGCCAAAACTTGCGCTTCGGCACATTTTCAATGAGTGCAATTTAAAGACATTTGCATTCCAATCTTGGCATCCATTTCAACAACAACAAAAGAAGTTCGGTAGTACAATAATGTTTTAACATGACACCTAAAGTTGCTTCATCAAAACAAGGTTCAACTCGAAAATAAACCCCTCATTGAATGGTTGTGGAGTTGGGACTGGTGAGAAGCCACGATACTATGTTCATGCTTTTTATGCAAACCGGTGCCATGCGAATACCACAACATAGGATTTACATGCACAAGACATTACACGCTGCTGCTCATAAATACCGTAATTACTCAAATCTAATGCGCACCTTTTTTCCGGTTAAGCGAGTTCATAAATCGCATGCGCGTTAGAATCGAGTACGAACAAAAAAATTACGGTCAATCTATTGCCATCGGCAAATCCAAAATGGCCGCCCCCTATGTGCGGCGGCATGGCGCGTCGGCCATTTCTGCCTATGTGTTTCCCATGTGCGGCACTTCGTACGTGTGCTGAGGAGTTCGTCATCTAGTAGTGCATTAGCATCGACGGCGTGGAAGGGCCGACTCCAAAAACTCGAGTGCACCACGATGCCGCTTTTAAAAGAAAAGTCGTCGCATGTGCAGAAACGGACGGAAATCGGGCCACATCGCGGTCGTTCGGAGTTCCCAAAACGTGCATGCGGGACCGGCGGAAACAAAAGCAGAAGATTGTCGACAGCAAAGCTTCACGCAAAGGCTTCAGTGGACCACAGCAAGGTCGGTTTCCGCAAATTAAAGAGCTGCTCGGCGAGTATGTGCTTGAGCAGCGAGCGGCACAGCGGCCCGTGACGACAGAACTGCTCCAAGTGTGGGCTATGCAATTAGTCTTAGAAAAAGGTCTAATGCGAGTCAGTTTAAAGCGAGCAGGTGCTGGCTGACTAACTTTATGAAGAGGAAAGGCTTTTTCCTCCGAAGAGGAACATGCATATGCAAAAAGTTTTGCGGAGGAGTACGATGAAAAGCTTCACAGTTTTCAGAGGTTCGTCCTAAACTTGCGGCGCAACAACGGCTACCTGCTTGGGCAAATCGGGAATGCCGATCAGACGCCTCTTTACTTCGACATGTCTGGCACCACAGCCGTCGAGAAGAAGGGGGCGAAGCAAGTTCGCGTGCTGACATCGGTCCACGGTAAAACTACAGTGACGGCAATGCTGTGTTACACGTCAGATGGGCACAAGCTTCGCCCGTACCTCATATTTAAATGGAAGGCGCTCCCGAAAGGAGTCATTTTTTCGAGTGGTGTGATCGTGCGGGCCAGCGAGAAAAATGGGTGCGCGTTGCAATCGATGTCTTACTTTTTTTTTTTTCGCGGTGGAAATCGGGTGCGCGTTACAATCGAGGGCGCGGTAGAATCGAGTAAATACGGTACGTGCTGGCAACTTGCAGCAATTCAAACTTGGATAACTCAAAGCTTCTGCAAGCTCTAGTGATGATAACATTTTCTTTCAGGTTCAGGACATTTTAATACACTTTCAAGCCACTCATTCTAACCAACAGCACTGCTTGATTAACATTCTTTCAATTTCCTATGGAGGGAACGGCAGACAACAGCTGTCAATAGAAAGAAGCTTACAAGAGATTTGATTGTTTTGCTCAGCCCAATTTTGAACTAGAGCACAAAATATAACACGCAAAAAAATGTTGAAGCGCAGAACTAGTAGATGTGTGCACAATGCAATTCTTTGAGAGATTTTAATAATAACAAGCTCTTGAGTCGAGCACACCACCACTGCAATTTTATTTTCCTTTTTTCCTTCAGGTGACCTTCATGCTGTGATTAATAAAAGCCATGTTCAGTAGGTATCAGTGGCTGTATCATGTTCATTTCTGGTGTTCGGGCACCTTCACATGATAGATAAGGCATGACTTGACATTGCGGACACAGTCGCCTGTCTGTCATTCCAGCATTTACTTTATTCCTCGCAGATACAGTGGCATACTAAAATAATGGTTGAGGATAGAGAGCAATAATGAAAAAATTTTCGTGGTTAAAGCGTGTTCCAACTGTGTGGGGAGATAAAGAGGGACTTTATCGTAAGTTCCCTCCAAGATTGCTTAGCAGTGCGAATTGTCGCGAGTTGCCTGCATTGCATTTGTACACTGGAAGCACGCACAAGCCCCCCAAAAATTGTGATATTTCAGACTTCTAGCACTTTGTTCACCAGTTTTATAAGTCAGGTCCCCCTTCCCCGAGAGACTTGAGCCTACACTTGTGACTTAGAAGTGTGGCAGCTTGGGCTAGTTGGTATGGCATGATGATAGTTATAGCGCGAGAACAAAACGACGACACAGTGTCTTTCGTGTCCTTCTTGTCTCTGTGTCGTCGTTTTGTTCTCGCGCTATAACTATCATCATACACTTGTGAGTCTCTTTTTGGCTATGAAGGAGCATCATGTAAGTTCATGAGGTACTTTACAAAAACGAAACAAACAGGTATAGATTGATTCAAAATGAGAATCACTAATGATGGTTGAACTAAAATATGGCAAAACTTCATGCCAGAACCACAGTGCCAATCTGCCAGTGTGGTGTTAACGATTTTGAAGCATTTCTTCTTATCTGAACTATTGTGTCAGTAAGTGATCTTCGAACTTGCCAACAAAGAACAAAGGTGTTAAAGAAGCCTTTTTTTTTTTCAGATCTTTCTTGCTTTCTTTTCTTATATTTCTTGGCACTCGCATGCGTGCGACTGGAACGGACTTTCACTCAAACTCATAAAGCATGCACAAACACTGTACATAGCATGGACATGTAGACTTTGCTATCCCAGTATCCGTGTGAATTAACTGGACTTAGATTGACATGACATAGTTGCCGCATACAAATAACAGACCGAAGAGAACATGGCAGAAGCGAGTGGAGAATCTCAAAAGCCAGTGAAAAAAAAAAAAGAAATAACAGTCTGCTAAAAATTATTTTTAAAATATCCTATAAACAAAAGCGGGAATAAGGACCAGTTAAAATTCATTGTAGTAGAAGTACTATTTAATTTTTCATATCAATGCATGATTTGTGCTTATTTCATTCTCTCGACCCCACACAGCTCAGTCAGCTAGAGAACGCACATGACGAAATCGCTGTTTTTCGATGGATGCCAAAATTATTTACTCAGGCACTACGACATTTACTGGTTGCCATCGCATATTGAGTAGGGAAAAAGTTACCGAATTTACCCAATTAAACAGCGTGCCTTTCTTTCCCGGAAATGTGGTTTGAAAAGTGCTTTGACGAAAGTCTGCTTTGGGAGCCGGCATTGTCTTGTGTGCCATTACGATGCGAAAACAGAGAAAGTTATACTGGGTAGGCATCTAATGAAGGGTTCCCTTTCTAAACAGTTTTTGTTGAAAAAGCTCATTCAAGATATTGCTGGACAGTTCCAGCGTTGGAACGTCAGTGAATGAAGACCTGAACAAGGAACGATGTTGGGCTGGTTGATGTATCATTTTCTGAGGTGAGCAACAGCACGCACGATGTGGACAAAGTTAGAATGACGCCATGAGCACTGCTAGAACAGTTCTCCTGGTGCTGTTCTCACTATGTCCAAGTCATATAGTACACTGTTATTCATTACAGAAAATGAAGGTGTCGGTGCTATACCTGTAAACGACCAACATTAAATCGAAATTCCACTAGCCACTACAGTGGAACTTTAAATATACGTCCCCCGGTTTTGTGAGAACCTGAATTTTATGACGAATCAGTTTGGCCTACGTGCAAATCTCCATAGAAGTAATCTATTAAATATTAAAGACCTTGGTTATACGATGCAGTTTTACGCTGACCCCGCATCTTACGTCGGCTTTCAGATTTCGCCTGAAAGAAAAAAACCACCAAACCACCTTCCCTTGAATCAAGTGTTGTCCAAACGAGCGCAACTATAAACCTGCGTTCCCCTAGGTTGAGGATTAGAAAAGTAGAGAGAAAGAATGTATTCATAAATTAGAAAATTTATTCTCCTGGAAGTTCATGCTCCTGTACATACGCCTCAATTACATGCGCACGCATCCAATGTCGTTACCTAGTCAAGCTTTATCCAAACAGAGGAGCTTCACCGGCCGAAATATGATATTTTTTAGGTTTTAGGTCCATGGAAACATCTCCTGGTCGACGTACAGCTGATTTGCCTTCATTGTACTCACGGTCACGGGCTTGCGCACACACAAGGGCGCGACGCAGCTGTTTTCACCAGGCAAAATTACTCTCACTCGACGTCAACGTGCATAATAACAACAGAACATCACTAGTTGCACATCACAAGCCAACAAATTACAATGCGCACAGCTCAGTCACACATGAAGGCATTCTGGGCAACACACAAACTGATGGTTTGTAGCCATTATATGATAGTGATGACACTGTCTGACCCTTCTTACAGAAGGCTGTTGGCAACGCGGTTTCGGTTTCATTTTCATGCGCAGGCAATTTTTGGTCTCTGTTTATTGTTAGAAAAATGCGCGTCGGATTTTTTTTTAAGTTGAATATAAAGACTTGCTTGCACCTCCTCCAACTAAGTAATGCTGCCAATAGCTGCCACTGGCAAGAATAATTTAATTTACCTTCTTTGCAGAGCACAAGGTCGTGCCGTGAGCATATTCAGGTAATCTGTATGTAGCCACCTCTAGTTCATGACTTGCTCAATAGATGGCCTTGTGTGTATGAGTCCTTGGGTATAATATAACTAGATGGTGTTAGTGGTTTTCACAGCACATCCACGGAGTGAATGCTGATGAGTGGGGCGAAGCGTTTGTCTATTCGTGTGTCCAACCGTCCATGCATTCGTACGTTTGCTTGTCTGTCTGTCCGTGCTTCCGTCCGCCCGTCCATCCAGACGGATGGATACAAAGATGGAGGCATGGATAGACGGACAGAAGCACAGACGCACGAAAGGACGCTTCGCCCCACTCATCATCATTCGCTCCGTGGATATGCTGCGATTTTTTTTGGCAAGGCTGAGTGTCACTGCCTATTATCTTAGTTTTTCGATTATATGACACCCACATAATACGATGGTTTTGCATTGTACCCTGAAAGTCGTATAATCAGGGGTCTACTGTATATAGCCACGAATTAGCGAAATTCCGTCATTAGTCAGTACTGGCTTTACAGGAGTGCGCAACAGCTGAACTTGGTCAGAAATGATTATTAGACTATCATTTTGAGTCACACAAGGCGGGAGGTAGGAACAGAGGAAAATATTATTTTCGAAAAACCCCGCTATGCATTCCAAGGGCTGAGCCAGTGGAATAAGAGCTCACCTGCCACCATCTTGCTTCGCTCCATGACTTCCTTAGCAATGGTATGGCTGAGGGCCAGAAGGTGAGCCCGGCGCCTCTTCTCTTCGCCCACCTTGGACCGCAACACTTCCACAGAGCCCCGGGCGCCCAGGTCCTCGTACCTGCCCGGGCAGCGGCGACAAGCACCACAGAGCAACGGCCATGCACTCACACAGTAACGCACGTGCTTCCGAAGTGACATCCCAACAACCCGAGCCTTAAGTTGAATTCCAATGTCACAGTTGGAGCAAGTTTTGCTTCTCCTTGTGGAGTGAGTTATTACAATTATAGAGTGAAATAGTTCCAGTGCATTCTGAGCATAAGCCACCTAGTGGAGCAAGAAAAGTTGCTTCACCAAAATTGTTGATGTGGACTGGAATTCTGAGTGACGCACTTCCTTCAGCATGTTTGCCTAGTCATTATGGTGGATGATTTCACAAATCATGCAGTGTTGCTTTTGTTACTCGATAATGACAGCTCCGAGTTACTTGTTGAAGAAGCAATTCATTAGATAGTTACAGCAAGGGTGAAACTGCTGCATAACAGTGGGAACTCAACAAAATTCGACGACGGAAGGGGATAACTGCACGCAATGCACTTTAGGCAACTTGACTCCAGTAGATAGTTACAGCAAGGGTGAAACTGCTGCATAACAGTGGGAACTCAACAAAATTCGACGACGGAAGGGGATAACTACACGCAATGCACTTTAGGCAACTTGACTCCAGAAAGAAAAAACTTCTGCTTTTGCCTTGCGGCGCTAGTTGCATTCCAGTCATGAATTAGGAGGCGTAAGAGTCGAGTGCGCACTCAAAAAATCCATCTGCTGCTCCAATTCTTCCATTTAAATTTGACAGTAATTAAAAAGAATCACTCAGAACATGTGAGTCAATTCAGTCTTATAAAATAGTGTCTCAAAACTATAATTTTCAAAACTTTTGCCTTTATATGCTGATTATCAAAGAAGAAAAAGTGGGTCAAAGTCTGTTTTATAAATTTAGCTATAATTCAGAAAATGCCTTCGAATAGAGTCATAAAGAATTAATTTTAAAGGGTTATAACACAACACAGCCCCATAATGCACTTAAACATTAGCAGAAAAAACCTAGCACCGTGCAGTAAAGCTTACACCTGCAGTCATTACTAACTGGAATGAGGATCAACATGCCACTTAACCCTTTGAAGGTAAAAAACGTACACGTCATTGCCTGTATGTTCAAAATGCGTGCATTTTTTTCATCATTTTTCTTGCCTGGCAAGTGCTGCCCCACAGAATACAATGAATATTTTTCTAGCGCCGACGCCTCCGCGCTTCTTTTTTATGCTCTGCTACAGCAGTGCACCGGCTAATTTCGATTTCGTCCTTCAGACAGTCACCCGCTTATTGTGCCTGCAAACTCATGGCTTTCTTGTTTCTAATCTTTGAAAAGGTAACGGACTTGTCAATATCTCATTTAATACTCCCAGTACATATTTATGCCTGTTTCCGAGCAGGCGCCGACTGACACAATTGATGTCGCTGTGATTACGTTTTTTTGTTTAGGGGGACTCGCAAAACCAGTTCTCGTTCTTTGGCAATGATACCAATGAGTATTATAGGTTTTGGGCTTGTTTTCGATTTCTGGATGGGTTCACAACTACAAAATTTCTTTTAGTGCGCTGCCTCGCGCAGTTTGCAGTTTGCGCAGTGCTATGGAAGAGAGAGGCGGTTTCTCTGCTGCAAGAGTGAGTCTAGTGCTAACTCCTCAAAATTCAAATTGCCCCATGAGTGGCGGACCCGAATCTGATTCAGTAAATGTCAGCTCGTCACATGAGGCATTACTTATGAGTTAAGATTCAAACGTTGATGAGCAAGCAACATCTCAGAAGTGTACATGACGAGATGATGCTGATTAGACAAAAAGATGTTACAATTTAACCACAAAGGCAAAGCAGTGAATGCAACAGCAACAAATTGTAATGTTCTACGAAGTGATGCTGGCAGCTAACTCTTTTGAATACAATCTCGCGTAACTCTACAAAATGCTGGTGTAAGAGAATGTGGCCGCTACAGGGACACTTATTGCGCAGTCTCTGCACTGACAGTGCAGCACGTAGAAGGATATACAAGTCGCCCACTGATCGCTTACAAGACAGCACATGCGCTAGCGATGGCGCCCTTAAGGGGGGATGCTACACCTTCCAAAAACTCTTTTATTTTTGCGAGTACCTCAGTCAAATTTGGAGAGCCTATGTTGATTTTACTGCTGATTTCAAAAATCTAATTCTTTTCTTGCTGTGACAATTAGTTTTAAAGATATAATGAACTGCGACTTTTTCAATTAAGGCCTAATTAGCTAATTATCTGTAACATAGATATTGATGTGCAACCCATAGAACCAATTCGGTATGTTCACAGTGTGCAATAAAGTATAAATCATTGTTCTGGGCTATTTCGAAGCAAAGTTGTGGGATGTTGAATATGATATGAAAAATTTCCCCATCTACACTTGAAACAAAAGATCCATTTAGAGAATTTTCTCCAAAAATTATTACAATAAAACTTACTTTACGACACATCCCCTGCATTTATCTTCGAAACAAAAAAGAAATCGTAATGATAACCCAGATAGAACAAGAGATATTGCTCCGGCATAATGGGAAGCACATGAAAATTGTCGTTTTGAGAAATCGAGAAAAAACGTGGGCACACATTTTTATTGCAGAAGATGCAACAAGACAACCTCAAAACGCACCAGAAGCATAGTCTGAATGCATTCTGTGCTCATGCCTCCTCTTCACTAGCTTCCGGAGTTCCAATGAGGCTGTTCTTTTCTTGTTGGAGACAATGCTGCGACGGTGGTCTTTTTCTCTCGCTCTCCTGGCACCAGTACTTGTCGCATTCATGTCCATTTCACCTAAGATTGCCGTTGCAGAATTCAAATTGCCTGTGTTGAAGCGCAGCACTGCTTCTGCAACAGCTGCTTCAACAGCGAACAGGGACGCATGGTGCTCCTTGGGGGCCAAACTCCAGATTACCGAATGTAGGCTCTCGTTGGAGTTCTGCGTTTTGCCGCGTTAGCACCTCTGAAGCAGGGCTCTTTCCGAAAGCCGGGTATAAACCGGTAGTAATGCCTCTGCCACGTCTTTCGGTAGATTGTAGGCATGCCTGGGGTCGGGCTCACCCTTTGCTTTTGCGGCATTGTGCCGACACCATGAAGTTTCACCAGCTGGGCACAGACTGTGGTCCGAGCATTCATCAGTGGAGGTGACGTGGCGGTATGTGGCCATCACAGCCTTTTGCATCTCGCCCACGTCACCTTCATGCGATTTCAGAGCCCGGCCATAATATGTGCTCAGCCTGGTGATCAGCTCACCTGTGAGCCTGCCTTTCCCACCAAGGCCTCTTTTCCCATCGCACTTTTGTTTCTGCACCAGGTTTCTCAATGCGGTGCCCATCCGTTTCTGTACATGATTAATACAGTCTTCCTTCTGCACGTCAATGTAACCATACACCTTGGCGTCTTGTATGGCGCAAAATGTCCTAGAGTCTCCATCAGACAGCATAGTTGTGTAGCGCAGGCCATGGCGTTCAAGCGACCTCTGAAATAGAATTAGAGCCGCCTCCACTTCCATTTGCCCCGCTTTGCTGTTCGTATTTTTTTGGCATTTGTGGTTAGCCTTCCATTCTTGATAGCCCTCACTACTAGGCTATGGGCCCACCTCGCAGCCTAGGCAAAAGTTGGAAAGAACGACGTAGTCCAACACGTAGCCACTAAATAATTCGATAACTGTGCCCACGCCGATGTGGGAAGAATGGCCTCGCGTCTTCCACGTGCCGTCGTAGCTAACGGCAATATTGCCCCGGTGGCCGAAGCACAAGTCATCATAAATCGTTCTAACCTTTTCCGCACATTCGCTCATAGCGGACTCAGCCGCTCGCGTTGCAGCGGGTGCCAGCGTGTTCTTCAAATGCCGCTAAAACGTCTTGTGGTGCATACCGCGGTGTGAGATGCCCATTGTTGCGAAAATATCGTTCATTTTCGTTTGGCCGTTGCCGGTAGCCACCATCGCCCTCGAAGCGAGAAGATTTACTTCAAACGGATTGCACGTTTTCGTGCCGTTCGCGCGGGGCGAAGTCCATTCATTCGCGATCTCGCCGCACCTTTCACACTGCACTAGCACTTTCACGGCAAGTCCGTAGTCCCGATCCCCTCTGACGATCGTAGCCGGTCCGTGGCAGGCTTTGCAACACAAGGCACCCATTATCGCGTTTAGGATATCTAGATGCATAAGCAGATAAGGAGTAGCCTGGTCCGAGTCCTGTGCGGTTGCCTCGCTACAACTCGCGGTGAAAAAGTCAATTTTCCGTGCAGTTGCTGGCGCCGATGAAAGCCGGTCGAGCGTCGCTTTCTCCCGGGCATGATTTTCTTCAACTTCGGCGTTTGTCACCACCTTGGCGTCGATTCGTAGTCGTCCGGAGTTCGCTTCACCGTCATCGTCGTCGGAGGCAACGCGCTCGGTCGCACCATCGCTGAACGGCCGCGGAGCGTCGACACATCGTTCGTCGGAGTCAACCAAGGGCTCTGATGACTTCGTAGACTTTCTCCCACGACCTTTGCGTTTCCTGCGACCAAATGCGTGCACGGTCCGATACTTTTTTGCGTTTCCAGGCATGGCGATACGATCAGAAGCTTCAGAGTGCTCTGCCGATTTCGAGGCGTCACAGCGGTAACCCTTTCAAAATGGCGTCGGGTAGCGTATGCAGGCGCAAGCCGCGAGCTTCCAGCCAACCGGAAAGCGCCATTTCAGTCACGTGCGCCGTTTAGCCAATGGCAGTGAGCGCGGCTCTTCGTCTTTGAGGCCCCGTTTTTCGAGCCGGGGAAACGCTCAATGTTGCTTACTGAATAAAAAAAAACAGCTGAAAACGCGTTCTTTCAAACAAGACCAAAATGGCGCTGATTGAGCGCGTAGTTCCCGCGTATCGTAGAGCCGAAACCTGCGCTATTTGCTCTCAATTTAGAAGGCAGGACGCCCGTTTTTGGTTTTTTAAAGTTGAATAACGATAAAAGTTGATGGTATTCGGCTATGAAATTTTGTAAATAGGTGCGCAATGATGTCGGGAACGCGAAAAGAAGGTCCGCAAAAACTCGATTTTTTGGCTGATTTTCGGTCCCGAAGTGCCGCGTCCCCCCTTAAAATTAAAGTTCACATTTGCTGCTTAAACAATGACCCCTCCCCTCTAGAGTCTTTTCAAGCTCGTTAAAGACAAGTGGAGCGTATTCTTTAAAGCGGGGTGACGTTATCGCATGCACATTCCAAGAGATGGAGATGGACTGACTTGTTTGAATCTCTGTTTTGGCTGCATTTGACACCCCCACTCGCGCGTGTTTACCCATAGAAAGAATATACAATGTGCGGGGGGATACTATCAATTTGAAGATTATATAGAAGGTGACAGTGACAGCAAAAACCTGCCAAGCGTGTGCATATAATTGCTATCACAATAAAAGTGTCTCATCATGTCCTCACTTAACACTACTTCATGCAGGTAATTTTTGTATATCTGTGAAGAACATAGATGTTTCTCGCATAAATTTTTAGCAGTTGCAAAGGCTTTTTTTAAAGAATTAATCTTGCTGTTACTCAAGAAGAAAAAAATGTGTGTATGCAACACCACAAATGAATTTCTTGTCACTTCACGGTCAACTACACAAAATATTTAGACAACTTTTTAAAACATATTCGCCAGAAGAATTTAATTCAGCAATAAAAATGCCCCATTTTCGGGACACATTTCGTGAAAAGAAGTTGACCCTTAATTAAAAGGTTAGAATGCGAAAGACCTCCTGGTCCAGTAAACACATCCAACAAGAAAGTAGAAATAAAAAACAAAGGACAAGTGAGCTTACGTGCAGCGTTTCACAAGGCTTACGAAATTGTTACATATTACTGCTCTTTTTGCAATCTCAAGGGGCTGTCCAAGGTATGCGCAGCATTTAAATATGCTTTAGATTGGTATACAATTTTTATTTCCAGTTATCAGTATACCTATCATGCACGTCCTTTGAAGTTCAAAATGATAAAACAAACCTCGATATAACGAACCTGATATAACGAAATACCAGTTATAACTAAGTAAATAAAAAATAGCCTTGCAATGAATGTAGCGTTGGGAATAAACCATTGTAACGAACTTTTTAGATGTAACACACTTATTTTTGTGTAAAATTCAACTTTGTTATAGTGAGCTTTGATTCGATGAAGCGACAGTGCAATGTCAAACACTAGCCTAGACAAGTGGAAATTAAATAAAGGAGGCAAATACCCGACAGTTTCCGTCAGCATCTTGCGAATGTTGGCCGCCTTGAGGCTTCTCCGAAGCTGCTCCACGGCAGAAACGTTTTCGGACTCCACTTCAATGTACCGCTCGGGAATGAGAATCTTCTGCTGGAAGGCCAATCTATAAACAGCAAACGAAGCAGAACAATGATCATAAAACTCCAACATGAATAAAAATAAATGGTGAAGGTAAGATAGCCCTTTTAGTCACAGGTGCACAAATGCACACGCCAAATTCGACAGGCATGTCTCACAATGCGGGTTACGTCAAATGGCTTGAAACTTAAGTGTGCACATTCGTGCGTGCCTCCTGAGTGGACTGCTGGTGATCATTTGACTTCATTATGCTGCGTATTTCTGCACAGGATCCATTTGCTCGATACACTACCAATGTTATACGAATGTTCGATGTGACGCACTCCAGGACCAACGTGAAAAGGTTTTTTTTTTCTGCGCTCAAAGCGACTACAACCAAAGAACAAACAATGCATGTAGTTTCGGGCCCTATCAGTGGATTCTTTTTGTAGCTGATACTGATTGGATGACAGAATAATTGAACAATTATTTACTCATTAACTTTGATTACTAATACTCACACAAAACAATGCTTTTTTCATTTTCTTACTTGAAATGTAACACTCAGTGCCTTAGAAATATGCCACGCGAATTAGACACATTTCTGACCGAGCGTCATAATTCGTGACTGAAGGGGCTAGAGACAGTTTTATGACAGCGATGCCGTAAGAGTGTTTCAATAACTGTTTACACTGACTCAAAGCTTTCATTAAAAAAGAAAAAGAAAGGCTACCGAGTTGAGGGAATACACGTGCATATTTAATCCAACTCACAGTAATAAAGTTCTTGGCCAAAAATAATAACTTGGATATACTAAAGTTTGACTAGGACAACCTTTTCTAGACACCATGTATCAAGTAAGGCAGTAATCAAAAACACGAAAATATGTACTGCATTATCTTGCACATAACCCACACCGAAATGCAAAAAGTGTGGTTTAAATGTGAGGGTGCGAGTTTTATGCAGGGGAGCTAGAGTTAATAGAGTTGAAGTTAGGGCTGAGGGGGTGGGTTATATGCAAGAAAATACGGAATGTTTTAAAATATGACTGCAGCTAAATGATGAACACGATTCAGTGAAACTTGTCGCAATTGAGCATTTACTCAAAGTTTTGCTATCAGTTGTGAAAACAGAAATTAAATGAACATACAATTTTGTACTTCAAATCCTAGATTTTTTTTTTAACTCATAACAAAGTGATACACTGCTTTCTTTCTTCAACATCGCAAAACAAACAAACAAACAAAAACCAAAGAGAGAGATCATGATGGCACCTATGCAAAGGGGCACATTCTATATAACTTGAAGCGTTCGAAAATCCTTGTAAATCCCAAGCCTTTCATTTGAGTTTGCACAAAGAACCGTGGCCAGTGGTATCTCAATGCCTTTTTCCACCTCGGTATTAGGCCATGATTTCCGTTAACAAAAAGATGCGACCAATATCTTACAAATGTGCGACAGTAACTTAACAGATTTGATAAGCTCATGAGGGTGGAAATTTTGAGGTTTTATTGTACTGTTTTGAAGAAAGTAAAGAAAGTAAATTTTTAGACTAATCAATAACCTTGGCATTACATGCTTGTTATATTACAGTACTGGTTAGACAACTTGAATTGTTTTCTAATATCCGATATTTCAGAACAGCCATGTTCCTTATATCGAGGTACACCTGTAATATCACTAATAGAGCCTGAGAATACTTCTAAGAATTATGCTACACAGCAAGTATACAGCATTCCCACCTGCATATCGATCGTCTGTTCATCGAAGACTTCAGACTTCTTTTATAGTGGAGCGTACAATGTCAGGCGTGTTGACGGTTCTCAGGCATCGCTCCATGTCCATGTCATCTCGTGAGCGCAGGCCAGTGGGCTGCAAGAGGAACGTGCGCAAAAAAAAATGCACGAATAAATGATAATGGGAAAACTAGACCAGTTGAGACTGTTGCAGTACAGTATAACCTCATTTACAACAGACCTCCATAGTGAAGAGGATTTTGGTCTGTTGTAAAAGGAGTATGTAAAATCAAAGTACTGTTACATCAGACTTTTATGGAAACACTGAATGGGTCTGTTATAACCCGAGAGAATCACGAGTCATGTCAAATTCATTCCCAATGGAGCATAAAAAAACTTGATTTTTTGGAAATCATTCTTTAGTGTTTGTAGCCTTTTTTCTATCCTATTCCAAAATATTGTCACGGCTAAAGGCCGGGAAAGAAGACAGAGGACGATGAAGTGATGAGCGTGGACAGCACCCAAGCACCCACGGTTCCTCCGAGAAAGAAGAAGTCGAAGTGGCTGCTCTTTTGTTCTGTTAATATAGACCTCGTTTTTTCTGGTCGCACCGTCGTCCTGTATTCTGTTATTTTCACCTAGCGACATTGGTGGAGGTGCTGGACTTCTCCAACTGATGCTTAGGACAACTCCGCGCCCTAGCACATCGAGTCCACCACCGCAATCCGTTCCTGCAGTGGATACTCCTGTCCACCGCTACAGTTGCCGACAGCGAGGCCTTAGTCCTAAGGCGATCCCGCTCGAACTTCTCCAGCAACACACCGTACCAGGAGAAATGGCTACCGGAGGGCCTTCACAGCTTACTGTTGATCAGCCTCTAATTCCTGAGACCTTCCACGGTGAGGCTTATGAAGACGTCGAGGACTGGTTAGCCCAGTATGAGCGAGTCGCCAAAGCCAACCGCTGGCCCACTGAACAAAAGCTATCGCGCGTATACTTTGCTTTGGCAGACAGCGCTCGTACGTGGTACGAGAACCACGAGTCAACGATGTCTTCGTGGGAGGAATTTCGGCAGCAAATTTTCGGGACATTCGCAAACATCGACCGCCGTGATTCTGCTCTGCAGCTCATTTAGGCACGCATACAGAAACCAAACGAGAGCGTCGCCATGTTTGCGGAAGACATGGCCCGCCTATATTAGCGGGCAGACCCCGAGATGCCTGAAGGTAAAAAACTCCGACATCTGATGAGGGGCGTCAAGGAAGAGCTGTTTGCCGGTCTCCTACGCAACCCACCAACAAGCGTAGTGGAATTTGTCAAAGAGGCTACAACAATCGAGCGAGCACTACAGCAACGGCGCCGATACCATGACCAACCAACCAAAACATCTCCCAGCCTCTCTGCTTTGAGTGCCGGTAGTGAGTGTTCTCTGCGCGAACTCATTCGTGAGGTCGTTCGGGAGGAGATCCGAAACCTCCTTGTGACTCCACAAGAAAATACCATGGCTTGCGTTGCAGAAGTTGTGCGGCAAGAACTCCGCCAGGCATTTTCGTTGCCCGAATCGTTCTCAGACCAGCGGTCTGTAAGCTACGCATCAGCTGTCCGTCGACCCACTCCGGTGTCGTACAACTCGTCGCCACTAGCTTATCGTGACGTGAGCCAAGGGCCTTACGAGCCGTGGGCCCCAGCTCCCAATCCGCCGCAGCTGTATCCACAGTCCAACGTGCCTATGCAAACGGCGCCGATGTACACTCCGCCGACATCTGCATCTTGGTCGCAAGGTATGCCCACCAGTCGACCATTCATCCGTAAGACGGACTTGTGGCGCACCGTCGACCGTCGACCACTTTGCTTTCATTGCGGAGAAGCCCGCCATAATTTCCGCAATTGCCCGTACCGTGACCGTAGACATCACAACTTTCTACAAACCTCCCCTCGTGCCTATTTCGATAACCGCCGTGACAGCAGTGCAGGCCCGCAAGCACAGCAACCCAAAGTGCCGTATCGTCGACCCCGCTCTCCTTCACCTGCACTGAACTGGTCGCCGCAGCGCAGTTACTCCGAAGTGATCTGGGGCAGATCTCCTAGCCCGCGTCGGGGAAACTAACAGCTGCGACCTTTGGGGGGAAGGTTGCCGCCCGTCGAGATGCTATCACACCCCCAACATCTTCTCTACGACGCGATACGACGAATGATACCGCGGATCGTACGACGCACGATACCAAGGACGATACGACGTCACTGACATCAACGGAAATCGTAAGCGCCAATCTAGACATTTGTATAGACGGACGCCCAATAACAGCACTGGTAGATACTGGTGCGGACTTCTCTATTATCAGCCGTAAACTCGCCGACTGCCAAAAGAAAGTAAGAAGAATATGGACGGGCCCAAACATAAGAACCGCAGGAGGTCAATTGGTGACGCCGACGGGCAAATGTACAGCTCGAATTAATATCTGCAGTTCAGATTTCGTCGCTACTTTCGTAATTTTACCGGAGTGCTGCAAAGACCTGATCTTGGGCATGGACTTCTTACGTGAATACGGTGCCATTATCAACATTCCTGAGAGATCGGTTACGTTTTGGACGGCCCCAGATCAAGTTTCGGATGTGCCCTGTACAGACCAGCGACGTCAGCCTTTGCGCGTCTTCGAAGACGACGTGACCATCCCACCGCGGTCGAGTGCACTCGTGGCTGTGACATGTGACACGTCGAGCGATTCTGAAAACATCGCCGAGCAAATTCCAACACTGCTATTCAGCCATGGTTTATCTATCGCAAAAGGCATCGTAAGCATAAAATGCGGACATACGCACGTCCTTGTTACGAATTTCAGCACTGAACGCCGACATCTAACAAGGGGCATGGCAGTCGCGTACGTGGAAGAGCTCGCCGAGATGACAGACTGCCTAACTCTTGAAAAAGATAATTCAACTGATCTGACTCCCACACCTCTATCTGTTGATATTGGCCCTAGTTTGCTGCCGGCGCAGAAGCAAAGTATCATGCAGCTTATTAACAAGTTTGAAGATTGTTTCTCTTCGATTTACAGGGTCCGTCAAACGCCGCTGACGAAACATCGAATTATAATGGACGACATGACTAGACCCATCAGGAAAAACCCGTACCGGGTAGCTCCGCGAGAACATGAAGCCATCGAAAAGCAGGTGCGACAGATGCTTGAAGACGACGTTATTCAGCCGTCAAAAAGCCCTTGGGCTTCGCCGGTTGTATTAGTGAAGAAAAAAGACAGCACCTTATGTTTCTGCGTGGATTACCACAAGCTGAATCAGGTGACAAAAAAAGACGTCTACCCACTTCCACGCATCGACTTCACCGGCAACGTTTCAGCGGTTAATGGACACCGTACTATCAGGCCTCAAGTGGCATACGTGCTTAGTGTATTTAGATGACGTCATCGTATTTTCCGCCACATTCGACGAACACGTCAAGCGACTGCACTCAGTATTTCAAGCTATCCGTTCCGCCGGACTAACACTTAAGCCGGAAAAATGCCATTTCGGCTTCGAAGAGCTTCTGTTCCTGGGGCATCTTGTCAGTAGTGAAGGTGTGCGGCCTGACCCTGAAAAAATAGTTGCCGTTACGAATTTTCCAGCGCCAACTGACAAAAAGGCGGTCAGACGGTTTTTTAGGACTGTGCGCTTCCTACCGACGCTTCATTGAGAACTTCTCGCGCATTGCCTCGCCGTCGACCCGCATTACCAGAGATGACGTCGCATTCGTATGGAATGAAGAGCAGCAAAAATCATTCGACGAGCTGCGGCAACGCCTTCAGAAGCCACCAGTCCTCGCACACTTTAATGAGGACGCACCGACAACAGTGCACACCGACGCTAGCAATGTCGGCTTAGGAGCTGTACTTGTGCAGTGGCAGGATGGCGCCGAACGAGTAATTGCTTACGCGAGCGGAACTCTTTCACGTGCGGAAGAAAATTATTCCACTACGGAAAAAGAGTGCCTTGCGGTGGTGTGGGCGGTTATGAAATTCCGCCCATACCTGTATGGTCGTCCTTTTAATGTCAGCGACCATCACTCCCTCTGCTGGCTGACGAATTTAAGAGACCCTTCAGGACGGTTGGCGCGCTGGAGCCTGAAGCTTCAAGAATTTGACATGACGGTGGTCTACAGATCGGGGAAGCGACATTCAGACGCTGATTGCCTTTCTCGCGCGCCATACGAACCTGCGACGGCAGAAGATGACAATACAGCCTTTGTCGGAGTTGTAAACACGGCAACTGTCGCACAGCTGCAACGAGACGACCCCGAACCAGAACCCATAATACGTTTTTTAGAGGGTCGCACTTCAGCTGTACCTAGACTGTTTGCGAGAGGGCTTTCGTAATTTTGCTTGCGCAACGACGTCCTGTATAAGATGAACTTCACGCCACATGGAAACGACTACTTACTCGTCGTCCCAACATCTCTAAGGAGCGAAGTATTACAGGCATGCCACGATGAACCAACATCCGGCCACCTGGGTTACACGCGTACGTTGTGCAGAGCGAGGCAGAAATACTACTGGCCAAGACTGACGGCAACCGTTCAACACTATGTTCGGACGTGCCTTGATTGCCAGCGCAGAAAAGTTCCACCCGTCAAACCAGCAGGCCTTCTCCATCCTATTGACGTGCCTGTTACTCCATTCGCTCAAGTCGGAATGGATCTTTTGGGCCCATTTCCAACCTCATCAGCAGGTCGCAGATGGATTATAGTAGCCACCAACTACCTCACTCGTTACGCCGAAACCAAGGCTTTGGAGAGGGGCACGGCAAGTGAAGCAGCCCGATTTTTCGTAGAAAATGTGGTGCTGAGGCATGGTGCTCCATCAGTGGTAATAACTGACAGGGGAACTGCATTCGCAGCCGAACTATTACAGACGGTTTTGAAACTTAGTGGCACATCCCACCGGCGAACAACGGCGTATCATCCGCCAGCGAATGGTCTTACGGAGCGTCTCAACAAGACACTAGCGGATATGCTCTGCATGTACGTCGATGTGGAGCATAAAAACTGGGACAAGATCTTGCCGTATGTCACGTTCGCCTATAACACGGCTCATCAAGAAACAAACAAGAACAACGCCATTCCGACTTCTTCATGGTCGTGAAGTC